TTTTGGTGGTATCAACATGATACTAGCTTTAAAAATGAATTAAGAAGTGATGGCTTCTCTTTTTTCTTTTTTCCTGACAGAAGGTAGAAGTGGTGTTGATTTTCCTTCACATGCTTCATAGAATTCTTTGAAGATATTGGATTTTGGGGGAGATGACTTTTAAATTATTAATTCAATTTCTTTATTATGATTTGATTTCTATTTGATTTGTTTTTTATTTCTTTCAAATATTTGAGGATTTTTCTGTTATCTTTTCATTATTTATCTCTAATTTTATTCTGTAGTTGAATAATACATTCTGAAAGGTTTTTATTCCCTTAATCTTGGCAGATTTGTTTTATGACTCAGATATTGTCTGTCTTATTGTATGTTTGTTGGCAGCACTTTAAAAATACAGATACCTTTCTGTTATTAGGCATTATTCTATGACACTTATTGCAGAACATTCTTTAACTATTAAGTAGATCCTTTGGTATGTGTTGAGTTCTTCTATATCCTCAAGTATTTCCTGTCTGGTTGTTATTTCCATTGTTTTTGGGTTTTGTTTTTTTTTTGTTTTTGTTTTTGTTTTTTGAGGAGGCGTAGCAGGAATCAAACTCAGAACCTCACACTTGCCAAACAGGCACTGCACCACCCAGCTATATCCCTGGCATAATCATTGTTCTTGGAGTGCCCAACTATAATGAGTTTTCATATTTCCTTTCTGCTCTACCAATTGTAGCTTAACATGCTTTTCAGCTCTGTTTTTTTCATTAGTTTACCTTAGTATCACTTGGTCTTTTTGGTGAGTTGACACATTTATCTTTATGTAATTAGCCAAATTTCCTTTGCTCTTAAGTCTACTTTATCTGGTTAGCAACTTAGTGGATCCTGATTTCTTCTTCTTAATCCTTGGTTATGTAATATTTTTCATTATTTTACTTTCTACTATCTCCTCTGTTATGCTGGAAGTGAGTTTCATGCTGACAGTATATAGTTGCATCATTTTTAAAGGTCTTTGTGTCATCATTTTTACAAGTTTGATTAAAGTATAGAAGCTTGTTTCTTTTTATGCCCTCCCCCCAGTACAATGTACAGCTTAAATATTTTTCTTGACATACATTTAAAGCTATATCAAATAGTTTAATAATGTTTTCTTTATTGATGGGTTATATTTTTTTAAATTGAAGAGAAAAAAATCTACTGCATTTAGTCTTATTTTCACTTACCATGTTCTTACTTTCTTATTTTACTTTCTAAATTGTTCTCTTCCTATTGAGAGACTTTCCTTTGAGACTTCTAGCAACACCAGCTTTTAGGTTCACTCTATTTGAAAATGTCATAATGTTCCATCTTTCTTTAAATATGGGGGTATATTTACCAGATAACAATTATTGTCTTACAGCCTTGGAAACATGATGCTGCTTTCTCTTAACCTCCATAGATTTTTCTTTGTTGGTGAGACATCTACTGTTATTCAGACTATATTTCCTCTATAGGTAAATTACATATCATTTCTCTCCCACTGCTTTCAACATGTTTTTCTTTTTTTTAGCAATGGTAATACGGTCACCCAGCTCTTCCTTATAATGATAGTAACACAATAATAATAAAGTACCCCTTGCATACTAGATGTGAATAAACTACACCCACTTAATAGCAAAGAGAGAATTGTCTCTATGACAAAAACAAACTGGTACCTAACACAACTTGACCTTGGTAGCTCATATGTAAGATGAGGGTAAGTAAAGATACCTGCCGTATCTTTAGGTTTGTCTCCCCATCCAGACTCGCTGTTGCAATGTAACACATCGACTGAGGTTCACTAAGGAAAATAAAAGAAATAATATTGAATGTCTCATCAAATAATGGGAAGTATGAAATGTGATATATATATATATAACTAAACATTCTTCAAAACTGAAAAAAACTACAGATGACTACTTTTCCAGAAGGTATTAGCAATCTGACCCCACCGGCCTAAAATCCATCATGTATAATGGCTCCATTCTCAAGGTTCATCCTTAGATCCTATGTGATTAATCATCAACCTTAAAAAATGAAGTTGATGAAGATGACAGGTGTTGTGGGTCAGAACAGACACATGGGAGGTCAAATCTAAAATTCTAATGTTTTCTCAAATAGGTCTATTATTACTCCCAAAAACTCAGGCCCCATCCCCAGTACAGTGAGATTACATCTTTCAGGATGAGTGTAGACAGAGCAGAAGCCTTGACACAAAAACTACTTTCGAGAATTTTCTGTTGTTCTCTGATGAAAACAGAGGAACACGAAGATACTGAATTAACATTTGCCTTGCCAAAGTATTCCATACCAGATGCCAACTCAATTATATAAATTAGTCACTCTGAAAGAAAGTCCAGAAAGAATAAAAATACTGTCTATTAGAGTTAATGACTCTTGGGCTGGGGAGATAACTCAGTAAAATAAGTGCTTGTCTGGCAAGCACAGGGTCCTGAGTTCAATCTCTGTAGCGAAAAAAAAAAAAAAGTTAATGACTCTTAAAAGTCTTACTTATCTATTTTAATTGTACTTCATTCCCTGAAATAATCAAGTTTAAAATACAATAATCTGTAGTAATTTAACTAGCCACAACCATATGCCACAGTCCATCCCCATCTGTAGTTTTCTTTCTGAGGTTTCAGTTCTCCATAGTTAACCTCAGTCCAATAATTTTAAATTGAAGATTCTAAAGATGAACAATTCCGAATTTTTAATTATGCTTACTTTAGGCAGCACTGTGAAATCATGCACCATCCTCTTCTGTCCCCCCAGGGCAATCCTACCTTGGTGAAGTGTATCTTCACTCTATACACTACTGGCCCATTAATCACTTAGTATCCATCTGTGCTATGAGATCCACCATTGCTGTACTGTGGCACTTCTGTAACCTTTATGTGGCACCCGAACAATACCTCATTCACCTCACTTCAGCTCATCACTTTGTCATACATCGTGAAATCACAGAAGAAAGGTAAATAGAGTACAATAAGATATTTTAGACAGAGACCACAGTCATATAACTCATAATACAGTCTACTGCTATGGTTGCTCTTTTTATTAGCTATCATTGTTAATCTGCTGTTTCTAATTTATAAAATTGAAGTTGGCCACAGGTATGTAAGTACAGGAAAAAGCAAAGTAAGTGTAGAATCCAGTACAATGTGCATGTAATTTCAGGCATTCAATGCCATGTATTCAAAAGTCATCCTGGTGGATCTGGGAGACTCCTGTATCCCAAAATAACAACTAACACTGTATATAGTCCTATTAAAACCGGAGCTTCCTTAAGGATAGCAGTGATGTGAGAGAATAAAGATCTCCACAAACCATCTCCTTTTAAAAGCAATGTGACAACTGGTAAAATGATGACTAAATCTTTTGCAACTCTGAAACTTAAAGACCCAAAGTAGCCCAGTGAGATTTTATTCAAGAACCATGGCTAAATCTTTGTAAAAACAAACAACAACAACAACAACAACAAAAACCCACAATGAGATTGTGACATTTTATCTTGCCCTAATCCCATCACCTGCTTTTAGTTCAATGGTAACTTTGAAAAATTACAACCTCCATTACTGGTACTGAGAGAACAAAGAAAAAAACACCTGTTTCAAAGCTTTATTTCCAGGCATCCATTATTCCTTCAGCTTGATGCCTTTTTGAAGACCCACAAAGCAGGACTGTTTTCATTTGAGAGCTTAACCGGAGCAAGGATCCTTCACCTGGTTACAGGATCACCTATCAGATTCTCCTCCTGGGAGAGTCCCTGGACTCCATCCCTCATCTCTCACACTCCCAAAGCTCCACAAGGTGAAAACTCAAGGTGGATGTTTTCATATCATAGGGATATATGTGTGCCGATGTTTATAGCGGCACAATTTGTGATAGCCAAATCTTGGAAACAACCAAGATGCCCATCACCTGAGGAATGG